GGTAACTTCATACCCATTGGATCAGCTGCAAGATCAAGTTCCATTGATTCCTGCAGAAAGCAGGCATGGAGTCACTGCCCATCAGCTGGTAAACGGTAACTCCAAACTTTGGTGGAGCTTTAAAGCAGCCTTATTAAATTACTACTGCTGGATGTCAGATAATGGTCAAACAAGACTATCTTCTTTTTTAAAAAAATATTTATTAATAATTTCAAAATTACGGAAAAGAAAGAAAAAAATTAAAAACAACACTACAATACATAGAAAAAAAACAAAAAAAAGACATAAAAACCAATGCAACAATACAGCAAAAAGATAAAAAAGAAGGGGGAAAAAGACACAAATCCCATATTACATATCTTTAACTTCCATTTGCTTGCTTCATTGACCTCCTCACACCTCCCTTTTTGTATTCTAGTTTGATTGATTATTTCAGCAAATTCTTTCCATCTTTCTCAATTTTTACTAAATAATTTATCTTAACAATTTAACCTATTAATTAACTCAACAAATCCTTTCCATCTTTTCCCCATATTCTGTTATTCAAATTACCTTAAGTTATTTAACCTTATCTTACCAAAAAATACTTTAGAGCTTAACGCTTAATACTCAATTATACATAACTCCTGATATCATTTCTACTAGAGTCATATAGTTTCATTCTAACATTTTCCCTAATGTTCATTAATTTTAGCCTAATTCCCTAGGGAAAAAAAAATTTCTTTATAAATTTTCTTCCAATCTTCATCCAATGTCTCTTCTTCCTGGTCTCATGTCGTGTCAGTCCTTACTGTCCATTTCATCTAGTCCATCAACCTGGTAATCTTATGTCCGAGGCCCTTAAGTCTCTTCCATGTCCCTTCTGCAGATCTTCTTCTTCTTGTTTATACTTGCACTTTTCCTTGTCTTTTGTTGGTCTCTTTCTTAATTTCTTTCCTTTCTCATTGGCGAGTAGGTCTCTGGGGGATTCCAACCCAAGATTATCTTCGTCTCCCTTCATCAAACCAGCCCATTCCTCAGAGTCCCACTCCCCACAATCATCAATGTAGTCCAAAAAATATTTAAAAACATATCTCGAGGTCTCTCCCAAGTTAAGAACCTCCTCAGCTCCAGACTCCCCCTGGCCGACTCCAACTTCAATCTTCAAAGACAGCGGCTTATGCTCCTGTAGGGCCTCGGGTCTCTCCATTTGTATTATTTGAGGTGCAACCGCAACCTCCTCCATTATCTTCTGCACTTGCCCAATCAGTACAGGTTCCTGAGTTGGTCCCTGAATAGTTTCTGTATCAATATTCCCTGCTTGTCCACAGTTATTGACCACAACAGTCGTCAAATCCATTTTCTCATTCATCAAATCCATCTTCTCATGCATCTGTTCCAACAAGGCACTTGTCTTGCATAAAGCAAGCACCAAAACTTCCTCCCAGCTCATATTTAGTCAAGGTCAAAAAGGGCTGGTCCCACGATCTTAATCTGACAGCTGTAGAGTCCTCAAGTAGACTGCAGCAACAATTTAGCAAGATCCTCTAGAGGAGACAATTTCTATTTGTATCCATTTTTTTTAAGGCAAGTCCAACAAAGGAAAATTACTTTCATTTTTCAGATATTTTGTTTCTTTAGAATGCAAAAGGCAACATTGGAATCAATTTATTTCCCTTCTTTAGCTATCTGTCAAAGTATTCTATTCACAGTCAATGGATCTCTCAAGAATTTCTGTCTCTGACACCCCGTTCCCAGGTTAGAGACGGTGGAAACTTATCTTTCTTCACTCCCTCTCCTGCAGGCGTTAAACAAAGTCCCCCCCCTTTTCTCCTGCTTCCAAGGGGGTTTCAGTAATTATAAATGAAGGAAATTTAAACTTTTTAAACAATTTTCCAGGCTTTAGCTTACAAGGTTTTTGCTTCAGTCTATGTACAAAAAGCGGAAGGCGGACTTCCTGTTTTGAACCTTCCCGCTTCGGTGCCAAATTAAGATATTTCTTGATCCAATTTTCTGTTTCTACTCACGGGTACTTGTTTTAAATCCAATTGTCCACAGGAAAAAGTCAGCGCTCTCCGGCAATGGCTGTGCAGCTTCACTCCGTGAAAGTAGCAATCAGTTCGCAGCACCGCGCCGCTCACCCCACTTCACTCCGGAGCCCCAAAATGGGGTTCCCGGTGAGTAGGGGGGGTGCTCCTGGTGCCCTGCCGAACCCCATGTTCCCAGGCTTCCTCCGCCTGGGATTTCTAGCGGGTCCCCACCTTCGCCGCGGCGGGAAGACCCAGTTTCCACGGAGCCAGTTCCTCCGGTCGGAGGAACTCCGCCATTTGCCGATGGCGCTGACCCGGAAGTCTCCAAACAAGACTATCTTCAAAGTGATGGTGAAAGAATTCACACAAGAGACATGGTGACAAACACATCTATCCTGATATCACCCAATAGCGCCACCTAGGTATCTTATCCACTGCAGGGATCCATGGACAGATAGCTTCCCAGGTCTTTCTCACTGGCTTCAGTCTCTCATAATTCTTTTCTTGGAGACAAATTTTAGATTAAAAAGGAAGTTGGCTGGTAAAGAAAAGCTGACCCCCCCCCCCGATTGATCACCTTGACCATCTTTTTGCTCATCTGAGCTTTCTTGTGTTTTTACTAATTGCCAGCAGGGAAGGGGTACCATCATGCATCTGGCTTGCCAGTAATAGGAGCCAGTTATCAGGAGGTGGGAAGGATGCTGGGGCTGTGGAGACACATGGGTGGAGCCAATCTGGCATTTCTGCTAGTGCTCCTGCACAGTGCTGATGTCTCTGCTGCCTTGCCCTTTCCTCTCTTCCTCCCAGTAGTGACTTTGCTGCTGAGACCTCAGGTGCATGTCCCTGCTAGTCAGTAATGTGTGCTCTCCAGTGGTACTTTGAAACCTTCCTCCCCAAACAACCAAACTGAACTGCATGTGTAATCCACCCTTCAGGAAATAACAAGGAAATGAACGGAAGACGTCCTATATTGAGTTGAGAAGAGGCAGATTGGATGGGATTTCACTAGAGGATCTTTGCAGCTTCCCTGTAGTTGGCTCGATGTGTGGTCTTTTCAGTTTGATTCACTTCTGAACCTCTGTATCCACTGCTGAGGCTGTAGGCAGACCTGGCTGAAATATTCATAATGCACGCCCCCCCCCCCGCCCACCATGTAGCAATTTGTTCCTGTGTTTGCAACAGCCTTTCTTCTCAAGGGATGTACTATCCTGGGCAGGAACCCCTCAGTTTTAAGCTGCTGCAAGCTGCTGATGTATGATAAGGAAGGCATGACACTGGCAATGACTTTGCTGCTGAGCTCTTCTCTGGGCCCTGGAGTCAGTTCAAACACTGGTTGCATTCTGAAGCATTTGGAGCAATGATGTATCTTCAAATCACATCCAGTATACAGTGGTACCTCGGGTTAAGTACTTAATTCATTCCGGAGGTCTGTGCTTAACCTGAAACTGTTCTTAACCTGAAGCACCACTTTAGCTAATGGGGCCTCCTGCTGCCGTCGCACTGCCGGAGCACAATTTCTGTTCTCATCCTGAAGCAAAGTTCTTAACCTGAAGCACTATTTCTGGGTTAGTGGAGTGTGTAACCTGAAGCGTATGTAACCTGAAATGTATGTAACCCGAGATGCCACTGTAGTTTAGAATGCCCAACTGTTCTTACCCTTACTTGCCTTTGCAGTTAGTCACTTTTTAGAGAAAGGAAGTTCCATTAGAGAGCCGTGTAGTGAACGCACTAAGAAGGCTGAGCGAGATTCTTTTGATTGCAAGTGAGCCACTGAAGGAATGGGTTTCCAAAACCCAAAACTGACTGTGCAGGCAGTTTGAAACTGAACAAAAATCCCTATTTTTCCTTAGCTAAAATCCATTAACTCGAGCTCTGAGCTCAATGCATAAACAAAAGCCCGGCTGTATAGACAAGTGCTGAGAGCCCTCTCCTTTATCAGTTGTGACGGCAACTATGGCCTTCACTGCACCAGTAGTAGAACAGAACAGAGAGAAGACACATCTGTGCTTTATCTTACGGCCTGGACACACTCTGACACACAAACCCAGGTCCGGGAACAAACGCCAGAGCGTGAATATTAACCGATGCAAAGGATAGAGGTGGATTTGCCCTGCCAGACCTTAAACTCTATTATGAATCAGCAGCATTCTGCTGTTTGAAAGAATGGCTGCTTCTTGAGAACATAGACATTTTGGATTTAGAAGGTTTCAACAATGTTTTTGGGTGGCATGCATATTTGTGGTATGATAAGGTCAAAGCACATAAAGCATTTAAAAACCATATTGTCAGAAAAGCATTGTTAAATGTCTGGATAAGATACAAGGACTTACTGGAAAATAAAACCCCTAGGTGGTTGTCACCGATGGAAGCAAAGGCTCAGAAAAGGCTCAGTATGGAGGCCAAATGGCCGAAATATTGGGAAATTTTGGAACAAGAAGGAGACAAATTGATATTGCAGAGCTTTGAAAAATTAAAAGATAAAGTGCGAGACTGGCTTCATTATTATCAGATAATGGAGGCATATAATTTGGATAAGAAAATTGGCTTCCAGGTGGAAAAATCAAAATTGGAAACAGAATTGTTAGAACCCAATACTAAGATTTTGTCAAGAATGTATAACTTGTTGTTGAAATGGAATACTCAGGATGAAACTGTGAAATCTGCTATGATTAAATGGGCACAAGATCTAGGATATAATATTATGTTTGCTGACTGGGAACAGTTGTGGACCACAGGTATGAAATTTACGGCATGTAATGCCCTAAGAGAGAATATTATGAAAATGATATACAGGTGGTACATGACACCAGTCAAGCTTGCAAAAATTTACCATGCGCCCGATAATAAATGTTGGAAATGTAAAGAAAATGAAGGTACTTTCTTTCACCTGTGGTGGACGTGCCCAAAGATTAAGGCTTTCTGGGAAATGATATATAATGAATTGAAAAAGGTATTTAAATATACCTTCTTGAAGAAACCAGAGGCCTTTCTCCTGGGCATAGTCGGCCAATTGGTGCCAAAGAGGGACAGAACTTTCTTTATGTATGCCACAACAGCAGCAAGAATACTCATTGCAAAGTATTGGAAGACACAAGACCTACCCACCTTGGAAGAATGGCAGATGAAGGTGATGGACTATATGGAATTGGCGGAAATGACTGGCAGAATCCGAGACCAGGGAGAAGAGTCGATGGAGGAAGATTGGAAAAAGTTCAAAGATTATTTACAGAAATATTGTAAAATTAATGAATGCTAGAATGATGTTGGATAGAAACTAAATGGTCTCTAGCTGAAAGGTTACAAGGGAATATGAAAAAAGGGTTTATTATGTAATATGTAAAAATCTAAAATTACAATATTTTTATGACTAATGATTAGGATCCATAAAGAGGGGAGGGATTTGCTGAACGAAATAACTGAACTGGAATACAAAAAAGGAAGGTGTGAGGAGGTCCTGGAAATAAGCAAACGAAGGTCAAGTAATGGAAGGAATGAATTGTTTTTAAATATTTTTACTTTGTATTTTTTCTTTTTTTGGTGTGTTTTGTAAAATCTTGAAAATCTTAATAAATATCTTATAAAAAAACAAATGCCAGAGCGTGTTCCCGGAGATTATTACCTCTTCCCCAGAGTAGGAAGAGGAAGATCCTTTTATAGTCAGAAGTACAGGAAGGAAGATCCTTTTATGGTTGAGAGGACCAGAGCAGGAACATATGTGATGTCAACCTGCATACATAGGCTGACGTGGCTGGAAGGAGGGAGAGGATGCCTGGAGGATATATATTGCATGAAACTTGTCATTTCTTTGGACTTGCTGGGGACTAATCACGCAAGTGCCTTCTGCTATCCGGAGAGCAGAATAAACTCTTTCTTTGAACCAACTCGGTGTCATTTTGACTTCCTTCCTCCTGTCCCGGAGCAACGCAGACCCAATCGGCGAACTCCAATAAGGCTACACCACTTTTTGATCTCCAAATGAATGTCATGGGATTAATTGGGCATATACAGTCATGGCTGCTCCATTAGACCAATTGGGGGCACTGTCTCACCAACCTCAGTCTACCCTCAGCCAGCATTCACTCCCGTTTTCTTACCTACAACCACTCCAGCAGGTTGTAGCTGGCAGTTTTCTCCTATTCCTCAGTTAGAGCAGTGCCCTTTTAGACGTAAGCATGGAGGAGGATGGGGACAAAACCAGAGTGGTTTAACAACCAATTCTTCTTCACAGGGGAATTGTAGCTGTGTGAAGGGAATGGGGTCTTCTAACAGCTTTCAGCACCCTTAACAAACTGCTAAAACTTCAGCCCTGTATACCTGAAGGAGTGTCTCCACTTCCATTGTCCAGCCTGGACACTGAGGTCCAGCTCTGAGGGCCTTCTGGCAGTTCTCTCACTGTGAGAGGTGAGGTTACAGGGAACCATGCAGAGGGCCTTTTTGGTAGTGGTGTCAACACTGTAGAACACCCTCCCATCAGATGTCAAGGAGATAAACAGCTATGTGATTTTTAAAATACATGAAGGTAGCTGTGTTCAGGGAAGTTTTCTGTGTTTGCTGTTGTATTGTGTTTTTCCTCTTTTTTTGTTGGGAGCTGCCCAGAGTGGCTGGGGCAACCCAGTCAGATGGGCAACATATAAACAACAAATTACTACTACTACAGCTCCCATAATTCTTTGGGGAAAAACATGGCTGTTAAAGTGGTATCATGCTGCTTAAAATGTATGAGGTGGTTGTGGGCTGAGGTTCATGCCCCTTTCAACCTAATGGACCAGCTTCCATTGTCTTGACAGGATTGAAAAAGACTGTGGGATACAAGGACCAACTTTGTTCCTGAAGAGAGTATCTTCATGGCTGAATGCTTGCATGTGAGAGCCTGTTGTGGGTGATAAGAATCTTTACTTTGCTCTTTTTCTGCTTTCTTCTGCCTCCTTCAATTAACTCACTGCTGAGTTTGTGTACGGTATGTAAATGTCTCGTCTGTCTCCCTGTCTTCACACAGCACACCAATGTGGTGATTGGCTTCTGTGTAGTTGTCATCCCTTTTCTACTCTGGCAGAGCTATTCCTGAGGGTGAAAAAGCAGATGGCCGCAAAGCCTTTGAAGAGGGACTCTGTTGATACCACGGAAAGTCACCCAGGCAATGTAATTGCAGCCGTGAGGGCCAGTGAGGTTTGGGCAATGGCAAAAGCTTGATGTTGGCTCTACTTTATGCAAATTGAGGACAGTCGCTAGATAGAAGGAAATGTCTGGATCCCAGAACATATCAACTTAAAAAAAACAAAAGCTTTTAAGGCCAAACCACATGTGATATTACGTGCATCTTTGAATCTAGCATGCAGGTTTTTAAAAATGCAAATGGCATCAGCTGGAAGGGCTTACAGTTAGGAGGATCAGAATAGGCATGGAGAGGGAATTTAAATAAAGTTGTGCTGAATCTCCTCCCTCCCAATTTGTGGGGGATAATTAGTCCTCTGTAAAACGGGGAAGGGATATTCTGTGACCTTTGGGGAGGAAGTGGGAAAATGTGATCATTTGGGGGGCGGATTCATACTTTGAATTTCAAAGTGGTTGAGGCTTTCCCTTTTAAGACAGTTCATAAATAAAATATCCCCTCCCCCAATCATCAACACAACTTCAAGCTTCTTGTGACATGGCATCATTTCAAGGGCATTTTTTGTGGGTGGGGAGAGAATGGCCTAAAAAGAAGTGCACTAGCAGTGTTGTCCTACATTTAGCAAATGGATCGAGAGAATGCAGGGAGGAGGAATCTCAGGATCAGGTGCTAAATGCAGCCCCTGAGGCCTCTCTGTCTGGGCTTTGGGAATCTTGCCAGGTCACCTTGTCTCCCCAGCCAGCTCCTTCTCCCCAGGCCACACCCCTCACTGGCTCAGCTTTGTATCCTCCTTGAGTGTTTTTGCCTGGTAGGAATGTGTCCTTGGACTCAGGCTTCTGGATCACCTGGATGGAGGACAGAGAGGGTTGTGCAAACGCGATTTCTATTCTATCCTCTTTTGTTCTACTACACTTTGGTTTCCGTCAAAGCCTATGCTATTTGTCCCACCATCCACTAAGGGGAAAATTAATGTAATTAATTGCATAATTAATTTCAATACATTTCAGTGGAAGGGAAACATAGCAAACAATGCAGAAAATAATGTAGTTCAGTGTGAAACATTTGCAGACTGAAACAAAAACAAAAACCCAATCCTAGCACGTCCTGTTCATATTTGCTAGCTTGGTTGAACCTGGAGATGACTGCAGACTCTGCTCCCACTTCCATTTCCAATGGAATTCTCTGACATCCCTAAACATGGCTATCTTCAGCTGGGATGAAAAACAGCAAACATTGTTGCTCAGATGGAATCAAAACGTCCCTTTCTTTGTATCTATTTCTGAAAAGACCTTCCCCATTACTCCTCAAACTTTGCTTACCTCTCTTACTGTTCAGCACATTCCAAATGTGCGTCGCAAGATGGACACGCTATATTTGATTCAACGAGAGACAAATTGAACCAGTGTGCACATTGCAACACCAATGGCATTCAGGGGTTTATTGCCATATGCCTTCTGCCATATGCTGTCAGAAGGGGAAACAGAGAGAAGGAATCCTTTGTTTTCTGGGGGAACAAAAATCTAGTATAAGACTTTACACATCCAAAGGTGGAGTGGAACCAACCTATACATAAGCTTTGGAAAGCCAGAACTGTAGCTCAGAACTGCGGAACCATTTTCAGTCCTGGGACCATATTCCTTGCTGGGTAACCTTACTAGGGCAGATGGGGCCAGAGGCAAAGATGGGTTGTGCAATGAGTGTAAATCTTAGCTTTGTACACACTTGCACCTCACCCCTCCTGTCCTCCACCCAGGCAAGTGGGAAGCATTATCCCCATTCAAGGACATATTCCAGCCAAGCAAAAACATGCATGGGGGAAGCAAACTAGGGTTGAAGAAATGTGTGGCTGAGGAGGGAATGTGGCCTGGGGAGAGTATTTGGGGCAAGATGGAGAGGTTTGGTGGGTTGCATTTGGCCTCTGGACCTGAGGTTCCCCACCCATGCTCTGTCTGCAACAATGATGACTGGTATCTGAGAGCCCATTTAGACAGAGCTAGTTCCAGCTGCTGAGGGGCAATATGTGCTAATTTCCCCACAAAAATGAGTACGCCCACTTCCTTCACCCTTACTACTATTGTTGCTGCCCTTTCTTGGCAATTATTGCCACCTCCCTCTAGGTCAAACACAGACAGCCTCCCAAATGGAAAGGACAAGGCAGCCTTACCCAGCTAGAGAACATCTGGAACTCCCATCAACCCCACCCAGCATGTGCTGCAAGAAAGCCACAGGCAGTAGGTAGGTGTGTGAGTAGCTTTTAAGCTTTGAGAGATGGCTGGAATGGTGGTGGTAATGGGATTCTCTGTACATGGCTGGAGTACCAGTCAAAACCAATTGCTCCTACAACCACCTGGAACCTTCTTACCACACAGAGTATGGTTGGGGAACCTGTTGTGAGACCACAACTCCCATTGACCCTTATGTCTGGGACTGATAGGACCTCCAGAAACCTCTAGATGGCCACAAATTCCCCAAATCTGAGGTAGAGGTTCCACTGCAGGTTCCTGTACAAACCTGTCTAAATTTCTGATATCTCAACTCCTCATCTGTGATAAGAAGCACTTTGCTGAAAATGATATACAGGTGGTACATGACCCCAGTCAAGCTTGCAAAAATCTATCATTTGCCCGATAATAAATGCTGGAAATGTAAAGAAACTGAAGGTACATTCTTTCACCTTTGGTGGACGTGCCCAAAGATTAAGGCTTTCTGGGAAATGATATATAATGAATTGAAAAAGGTATATAAATATACCTTCCTGAAGAAACCAGAGGCCTTTCTTCTGGGCATTGTCGGCCAATTGGTGCCAAAGAAGGACAGAACTTTTTTTATGTATGCTACAACAGCAGCAAGAATACTTATTGCAAAGTATTGGAAGACACAAGATCTACCCACTCTGGAAGAATGGCAGATGAAGGTGATTGACTACATGGAATTGGCAGAAATGACTGGCAGAATCCGAGACCAGGGAGAAGAGTCGGTGAAAGAAGACTGGAAGAAATTTAAAGACTATTTACAGAAATATTGTAAAATTAATGAATCTTAGAAGGATGTTGGATAGAAACTAAGTGGTTTCCAGCTGTAATGCTTTAAGAGATACGAAAAAGGTTCACAAATGGGTAAAAGCTTAATGGTAAGGATTTGCTGAACTAACAAACTGAACTGGAATACAAAAAGGGAGGTACGAGGAGGTCCGGGAAATAAGTGTAAGGAAGATATGCTATGGAAAATTAATGTGTTTTTAACTGTTCTTATTTTTTATGTTTCTTTTTATTTTTCATTTCTTTGTTATATTTTCTTGTATTTTTACTTTTTGTTTTTGTGTAATTCTTGTATTCTTTGAAATTTTAATAAATATCATTTAAAAAAAAAAGAAGCACTTTGCATGTCTGTGATGCCCCACCATTACTTTATTTCATTTATATTTTGCATTTCTATCCCATCTTTCCTCCAAGAGGATCAAGGTAGAGTATACAGTATGTTTCTTCCTTCTCCATTTTATCCTCACAACAACCATGTATGGTAGGCCAGGCTGAGAATGAGTGACTGGCCCAAGGTCAGCCAGTGAGCTTCACCAGCTGAGTGGAGATTTGAACCCTGGCCTCCCAGGTTATAGTCCAATACCATGTTTGTTAATATGTTCAGAGTAAGTTCTGACCCCGCACTGAAATGGCCACTTAGTCACAAAAAGGGATGTAACAAGGCATCATTTCCCATTCCACCTGTTTTCATTGCATACAGCTCTGTTTCCCTTATGCTGCAGTTCATCTTCTGCCAAAAACGACATTCTTTAGCTCACTGTCCACTGTGGTAAAATTATGTACCTTAGGTAATTTAGATGGCCATTATGTAATTCCATCCCATTCATTTCAATGTAAAGTAAGACCACTCACCTTTCGCGGTTGGCAGCATTGCGGCCGGGCATCTGGGCTCTCACGGTGATCCGGCTGGAGGGCGGGGGATTGATGCCCCCCTCGCACCAACCCTTGGCCATGTCACACCTGCCCGACCAATCAATGCCCGCATGGTGTGTGGTCATGGGTGTTTTAAAATGTGGTGTGGCCAGGGAGCTTCCCTCTCTCGCCTCCTCACTGGATTTCCCAACCCACCTGCCCTCTTTTTAAGCCTTGGTATGATATGACTTTGCTATGTACAAACATTGGCTGCCTTATTGTTGGAGCCAGGTAGGAATTTTTCCACTTGGTGAATTTGGTTTTCACCTACTTTGTTGTAATCGCCATAACTTTGTAAGGTTAGGCATTGGGTAAGCCTTTGTTGAAGGGAGGGGAGGTTGTATCCTCTGCTTGCCACTCCTTGATAAGGGTATCCTGTTAAAGGGATCCGGGGTGTGGATCCTATCCTATTTGATGTAAGTCATAGGGCTCCCCCTTCTGGCTTGTTGTTGTTGTTTAGTCGTGTCCGACTCTTCATGACCCCATGGACCAGAGCACGCCAGGCACTTCTGTCTTCCACTGCCTCCCGCAGTTTGGTCAGACACATACTGGTAGCTTCGAGAACACCGTCCAACCATCTCATCCTCTGTCGTCCCCTTCTCCTTGTGCCTTCCATCTTTCCCAACATCAGGGTCTTTTCCAGGGAGTCTTTTCTCATGGGGTGGCCAAAGTATTGGAGCCTCAGCTTCAGGATCTGTCCTTCCAGTGAGCACTCAGGGCTGATTTCCTTAAGAATGGATAGGTTTGATCTTCTTGCAGTCCATGGGACTCTCAGGAGTCTCCTCCAACACCACCCCTTCTGGTGGTTTACCCTTAATTCAACTCCCTGAAGGTGGGCGGAAGTCAAGATATAGCCTTGCTTCAAGCAATGCCTAAGCCAAACTGCTCCCATCTGTAACCAGTAAAGTTGTGGCCTGCTTTAGCCCATTACCTTAAATACTTGCGTCTGTGTATTTATTAATCAACAGGGAACTGTGGGGCCATGGGGCCTTGGCACGCAAACAGTACAAATTGGGTGGCGGGTGGCATTATCAATTACCTATTGTTTACAAACTGAAAGCAGCAGCAACAGCAAATACTGATACTATTCACTTGGTTTATTTCCTTACTGGATACAAGCTGAATAAGCAAACACTGGGAATTTCTACTCCCATTTCCACTGGAGTTCTCTGACACCCCTAGTCACAGACTGATACCCCAATATGCACCTGTTAACTGACCCTGTCCAAAATGGAACATGAATGGACACATGTACCCTGAAATGTTTGCTATGTATTTCCAAGTTGGAAGATTTGACATTCATTCACCATTCACCATTTGCTACCTGTCTGGGAAGACGAATGAAATATTTCCACACACATAATCACCAGCTTGCCTTACTTAATTGGCTGCTCCAGTTGGCAAAACCAGATGCTTTCCTCTGGGCTGACAATCTCTTCTTCTTCTTCTTCAAAAAATCTTGAACTCACCACAAAACAAACAATTCTCCTATGTCTGCGGAAATGACTGCATTCCCTCTTATTGCCATATGGCTTGTACCAGAGTGGCCCATAGAACTTCCCGGTATTGTCTATATGCAAACTTTTTGATATTTTTGTTTACCATTGGTGCTTAACAGTTTGCACCACTGGGGGCCATTTCTAGCAGGAAATCTGACAGGGAAAAATGATCTTTCTATTATCTTGTTCCATGGCTCTAATGAGCAACCTCTCCTTGCATATAAACCATCCCTTTATGTTCTTGTTGTTGTCTTCTGTTCCTCTTTTTTCGGGTGTGGGGAGTTGCTCAGCAAAATAAAATGGGAGCAGAATCTGGGAATGTGAAAAACAGAAACAAAGAAATGGAACAGTTTTACTTAAGAGATGCTGCAAAATTTTGCAAGGCTCGTTAACTTTGAAACACAGGAGTATTGGAAGCTGCCTAACAAACGTAACACCCTGAATTCATTGGGTGGGGGTGAGCAGAGGTATATATCCATAATTTTCTCTGAGAGTTTTCCTCCATAGACATTGAATCATAAGAACATAAGAGGAATCTTGCTTGATCAGACCAAGCACCCATCTGTTCCACCTTCCTGTTCCCACAGTGGCCAACCAGATGCCTGTGGGAATACAAGCAGGATCTGAGTGCAAACAGCATTCTCCCAGGTTGCAAATTGCAGCAACTGGCATTCAGAGGCATACTGCCCTTGATGCTGCAGGTAGGACATAGCCATCATGGCTAGCAGCTACTGATGGCCTCATCACACATGAATTTGTCTAATCGCCTTTTAAAAGCCATCTTTTAAAGCCAGGTTGTTGGCTGTTACTATATTTTGCAGTAGCAAATGCCATAGTTTAATTATGCTTTGTGCCTCCAGAATTTCCATGCATAATCCAGATGACTTACTCTTTGTAGCCGATCTCTGAAAGCAAGTATCATAACCTGATGATTTATCTGAGCTCAGGATCAGTCTGAAATAGGAAGTGGAAGGGGGGGGGGAGGGGGAGGAGGAGGAGGAGGAGGAGGAGGAAAGTGTGCTTGCCAGAATCCTTTTATGCATTTTAACTACTTTTTTTTTTTTGCATTAGATTAGAAGTGAAACTGTTGGTTTCATTGTTCCAACATTTCATATCCCATCCTCAATGTCCCCATAACTCTTTTGGAGCAGCATAACCACGACCCAACTATGACGTGGCTGAAATTACAGCAAGCGTTTCCTTTTCACTGACCAGCTGAATGGAAACGGCTGACATCTACTTAAAGAACCAAAGACAAAAGAAGAGCAAAGGAATTTTCCTTGGCATGAAATAGCATCAGCATTAGAATCTATAATGTTTTAATTTCTTCCTCTGTACATCTTTTGAGCCCTTGAAAGAATGTATTTGCATGTGAATGGAGGAAAAAACCCCACTCAAAATTATATTCCTAAGGTTCCTTCGCAGAGGAGCTGCTTTTAAAAATGCTCTAAGGAACTCACTTCATTTTATTGCCTTGCCTTTCTTTCAAAACGAATCCTCAATTACTGACTAAACTGTCTTGCCAGCTAAAATTCTAAGTTAGTCTAAATATTTTATAAAGTTCTGTGAATAGAAAGGAGAAAAATGCTTTTCCAGTTGGGGTAAGCAGTTTCTCTCTCCCCCACCTCCCCATTTTTACTCTTTGCAGTCAGAATAGTTTATGTCATTGATGTTTTTATAGCTTCCTCTCCAGTTGTAAAAGACCACTCCTTCATCTTCTCCAGTTTGACATTATTTTTTTTGAGCTAAACCAAGTAACAGTATATAGAATTTTACTTTGTACCTCTAAGTAAAAGGTAGCAAATTGCATTTAAATAGAATCAATTTTTTATTCCACCCCCCCACACCCCAAGCTCATAATAATCCTCTGACACAATTCCAGATGTTCATTTAAAAAAAGATGCACATGTTTTGTTTAGCTCAACAGGGAAGAATTGTATAATAAAAAAAAAGCAGGAGTCGTATCATATTTCTGTCTATGGCAATGCTGAGGCATCTTATGAAACGACAGCTATCAGAGGAGCAATCAAAATGCAATCTTGGGCATACTGTATATGAAATCAAAGCAGTAGGAATTTGCAGCAAAAACATCCGGCATTTTATTTATTGCAAAGAAGTTTCAAATGGAAAGATAACCACGACTGGATAAACAAACAGCTTTTAGGCAGCAGATAATGCTGGAGGATGAAAATGTTCAGCTGATGAAACAGGCATCCTATAGGCATGCCAGTTGAGCTCTATTACTCATTTAACAAACACTGAAATAACAACCTGACCTTTTCACCCACTTCAATGGAACTTCCCAAATTTAGCCAAGGTGTCACTTGAGATTTATGGCAAAGGTGCAAAAAGAAACAGCCAAGCATGGCTTAAGTGCTTTGCTGGAGAAAGTAAAAATTATTTGTTTTGGTAAATGGCATAGAAGTTTTCTGACAATCAAGTGGTATGTACGTTTTTGTGAAATAATAATAATAACAAATTCCTGTAACGCCTAATTCACATGTTGCTTGATTTCCTGACGTTTGATTATTATTGTACAATCA